TTTCAACAAAGGATACACATAAGTTGCCCTGAGTTCAGGTTTTGGCCTGAAATTTTCCTACTGAACAAAAAGAAGTAATTTGAGGGAAGAGTAATTGAGGGAAATCTTATGACTCTTACCGAAGTGGAAACATGCCGGACACACATATCCTGCTGGGGCAGTGTGTGGAGGAAAACTCTTGACATGTGATACCAAGCAGTTTGTGTGGATAACATCTATAAAATCATATTATGTAAATTCAGAATGGATTTCGTAATCCCCCAAAAAAAACAAAAATTCAGCATGGATTTCAGCTCTCAACAGGATTTCCTTTAAACACGTAAAGAAGGAAATTACATACGCAAGCAACCCAGTCGAGTAGTTTGAGATCCCGCCCCCTCGTCAAGGACAGCTTGACATTGACAGCATTTAGGAGGCCAGTCGTAATCCCCATCTATAACCCATTCTGAATATGTTCGAACCTATGCAAGATGGTAAATAGTAAGCTCAGAAACTCTAAATTCAGCACAACAGTGATTTGGCTTTCCACATGAGACCTAATCCCAGTAAAAAATCTCATGAGATGCTCAGATGCACCTTAATACAGCGTTCAAGAGAATTTATGCCGAAGATAGAATGAAACTATAGTATATTACCTTGGAACTTAGATAGTGTGCATTATGAAAACACAAAATCAACCAAATTTAAATGTCACCATAAGGAAGTAAGAGTTCGTGGCCAGGATAGCATTCATTTGAAATTAGTCAAAGATTTGAGTTTTGAATTTACCACACAAATTTGGTGCTCTGGGAAACAGACACATTCTCCACAGACAGGAACTTTGTGCACGAAGCAATATAATTTAGTAGCCTAAAACAACCAAAGAAAACCCATGCAATTCGTAGAATTGTGAATTAACCGGACATAAAGGCACCCCCAATCTAAAAACCAAACTAACACGCATCAATTTGCCTAGAAATAAACGGCATCAAACACCTTTTCCAACACGCATTTAGACAAAAACAAACAAATCCAAAAGCGCATAAATCCCCCCATTAAATGAAATGATGATGCAAATCCGATCAGTATATGCCCAGAGAACAAATCAAGCATAACTGACCAACAGAATTCAAAGTAATTGCAAGAATTCCCCGGGGGGGTGGGGGGGAGAAAAGCATCGAAAGAGAAAGGGGCAAAAACCTTGTGACATTTGCAGACCACCATTGCATTGACTGCAAGAATCCAATAAAAACAACCTTCAGATCAACTCAGCTTAATTTGAAAAGGAATATAACAATTGAAGCCAAGTTCAAGATCGAATCAACATAATCAGAGTTCTCATCACACGTGCTTCAACCGAATCTCAATTTGCAGTTTGTCATGCTCGCTTTGCGATTAAGATCCGTTTCAGTTGTTTTGTTCAATTCACTCCGGAACGGCGACCAACAGACGGAGGCAGGCAAACGAACCAACAAAAAAAAAAAAAAGTCCACCCGGGCTGAGACTACATATCTATTGGGCATCCTGAATACTTTTTGGTCCATTAGTTATGCTGTAAATTGGGCCAACAAAAATGGCGATGTCAACGACGCTGTCGTTTCACTAAATCCCGGCATCTCATGGATTTGGAACGGGACCTGGGTTCCTTGCGAGGATTGAATGCGTGTCAACTCGTGGAAGTCTTCAGCAGATCGTCAGATTAGGGGTTTTTCTTTGGAAAAGGGCGAAATCTTGTTAAAATTCTACGGGTGAGAAGTGAGAATATCTAGAGCCGGGAGAAGGGTTAGCCCTACAGGGCTGAGGCTTGAGAGCCAGTCCGTTTAGGCTTTTTATATATTTTTTTTTTAATTTTTTTGTGTAATCTAATATTATTAATTTTTATACTGTTAATAATATTTCAATATTTAGTTATTATTATCATTTTAAAATTAAATTTCACGAAATGGTTTGGTTATTTAGTTTTAGACAATAATTTATCCAACTAAATTTTTAAAAATGGGTTCATTTGGACTTTAATATAATTTAATTTATATTATATGTGTTGACATTTTTAAACTATATATATTTGATAAAAGAGTATTTTTATACTTATATGACTTGTGATTCTATAATTTGAATTAGAAATTTATGAGTTTCAATAATAATGTTTCTCAAACTAAAGTAAAATAATAACTAGACTGTAAAATTTAAAAGTAAAATTCTAATGAAGAAAAAAACCTTGATATTTTTGTTACGAAAGAAAAACATACTTATTAAGAAGAGCAATTGATTATAATGAGGATGAAGTTTAAAAAGATTAATGATAATGTTTGTTTATTACGCATTTGCACTATAGATGAAACTTTTCAATGTTGTTCTCTTTTTAATGAATGTTTTAGATATTCTTGAATGTTAATGGATATTTATATATAATGATATTTTGTATTTGTGACAATTTTATTAATATTTATATCTTTTATTAATAATTTCATTGATTTATTTTCATTTTTTTATAAAAAATGTGAGCAATATGAAAAAAAAAAATTTTGTTCTTAAATGAACTGAAAGCCCGCGGGTTGACTCTAAACCTGTTAGCTTAAGAGCCGGGCCTAGTAAATTAAAATATTTTTTAAATTTCAGTCCTGTAGGGCCAATCCTTATAAGCCCACTAGTCTTGGAGGGCCAGACCGGCCCGTATTCTCACTTCTAACTGAGAACGACCTATATAAAAACTGATATTCTTTGCATATAAAATTTATCATATTCACATCAATAAAATTTTTATAGGTGAAAAAGAGTTGCATCAAAGAATTGATACTTTATGCGAGCAAAATTCGTCAATTCTTTTTACATAAAAAAATTTATCGGGTTTTTCTCACAAATAAATTTTTTAATAGACGACTTTATAAAACATTTATCAGGTCATTAGCATTTTGTTTTGGTTCAAAATGTTTTGGCTTTTTCTGCTCTAGAATTGCATAGTCACGGCTGCTCATCACTTGTAAAGGTAATTTTCCTCATACCAATAACACATTCACAAAAATATTGTATCCCGAACAAGGATAACATTTCAGTGAGTAAATATGGCTTGTGTAAGATACTCCACAAATTGAAGGAAAACTGGCTTCCTGGAAAGCTACAAAGGAATATGAAGCAATGTTTGCAAATTGCAGAAATTGCGTTACAATTATCGAGATATCTGACTTCTCATTGTTTGGCCACGTTCTGATTAAAAAAAATTTGGATAGGTTCTAAAAATATTTTTATAGTATACGAAAAGAGCCTTTAAATGGAATCAAAACTATAGTTTTAAAAAAAAAAAATTTACGGTATATAAAATACATATATGAATGAATTTATTTTGATCTGTGTAAAAATACTTTTAAAAAACACTTTTCTTGATTTCCAGACACTCCCAAAATAAATATGTAAAAAATTTACTTCGTTTTATGAAAAAAATACTACCAAACACCCCCAAGTTTTGTGAGCAGTTTTCTGTTGATAACAAAATTAAAGATATTTGCTGTTAAATTATGCAGTACATAGAAAACACATGGAGAACTTTTTGATGTTTAAACAATCTTGTCAGGTTCGTAATAAAGAACCCAATAATAAACAGCTCAAAAACTACTTTAATTTTATTGATAAATAAGCTTAATTAATTAGACTTAGGTTTGTTTCTTTGAAATATAGAATGAACCAACCAAGCATAACCAAGGTGCTCCATTTTCTTTCATAGATAAAAGCGAAGATTAAGTTATTCAGGGAACATAATACATTACCCCCAAAACAAACTTTACACACTATAAATTACGTTGAGATAAAAAGAAACTTGTCACTTTTCACCAAAACCCACGGCCTTTGAAAGGCATTAGATGTGAAGCATCGTCAACAAGGAACCATGCTTTTTTTTAACCCGCCATTCTATGATTTTACCTAAATCCAGATGCTGCTGCCTGTGAAGGAGCACCAGCTTGTCTTCTCATAGCTCTTGATTGAGCAAGCATTTCATCATAATTCTGATGCAGAAAATTATGATAAGTAAATTATGCCAAGTAGATTTAGAGCATGAACATGAATAGTCATGAAAACTTACCCTCTTCTCGAATGCAGCATCCCTTGAGTCGATGATCTTGTCTGCAATTCCATAGTCTATCGCTTCTTGAGCTTGAAAATATTTAGGCCGCTGGAATTCTTTGGCAAGTTCTTCCTTAGATTTCCCTATTCCTTTTGCTAGCAGCTCAATGTAATACTCGGTGTTTGATTCTAGCTCTTTTGCCTGTGGACATTTTATCACATTATGTACTCACTCATTAATAATAACAAAGGGAGACAAGCAGAAAAGCCACACATAGAGAGGTAGTACCTTAATCCACATATCAATTGCAGCACCACTTGATCTGCTGACTTTTGGGAGATATAGTTTTGCTGCAATACAAAACAGTTGGGAAGCCAAGCCACAATAAGAGCAGAGCATTGCATGTAACCAAACACAAAATTAATGTAAAAATACTATCTTGCTATTTTTCAACACCGTTCTAAATATTGATAGGAAATAATCATATGTTATTATGACCTCTCTTAAGTGCAGCTTTCCCCAGCCTCAAGAATATTTTAAAACATAACGTTACACTAATGACACGCTTTAAATTTTGTAGTGTCACCATGTTCATGTCAGTTCACATTCCATTTCCATGTCCAATGTTGCTAGATAACAAAAACAATGGAGAAGAAACTAGCTGATCAGCCAGAAAGGATGGCTTTGCATGCAATTGAATTGTAACTTAATATCAACACTTCTTTATTCTACATTAGAAATTTCATGATGCTCACAAGAAGTTATATTTACAATAGATGCCAACGTTGAGGAGTCCAAAGAGTCTAAAACTTCCAAGATTTCAGCTTAAATTGTGTCTTTTCATTCCATGGTCTAGCAGAAAGCTTGCCAAAGCCACTGCAGAACTAGAATTTGTCTAACCAATCTTCTGGCGAATTGTTGCTAACGGGAGGATCAATTATCACCCGATTGAGGGATTCCATAGGCAACCGGAAAATGGCATATAATAAAAATATAATTGAAAACAGTAGATTCTATAATCATGGATGACAATCATAGGTATATTCCAAAGGCATTAAAAAGACTGCAAATTTGCCGGACGTCCCAAAAAGTCATGGTAATTAAGTGCAAGTGATCACATAAAAATTTCAAGACTTAAGAGAGCCGTACTAGATGAATTTGGCTGTACTGCACGAAAACCCTTTGCTCCAAGTGACAGAAGCATTGCTGCCTGACCATATGCCATCCCACAATTCACAGTATAGACATCTGATTTAACATACTTCAGGTAGATCATATAAAAGAGGCTTGAGTTAGAAGGCTGAGCTTAAAGAGATGAACCAAATTCAAGCCACAAGTGGGGTACTCAAGTGATACGTGGTTCATAAAACACAACTTACTGCCATCATATCAGCTATTGCATATGCCTCAGTTTCTGATCCAACAGTCTCCATCTTATCATCCTATAAGGAAAATCCAATTACATAATTAACATTTTTTCACCCCAAAAAAAAAATTTCAAGCAAGGAAAAGATTTAGACATGAAAACAATGATTCCTGCTTTACCTGAGTTCCAGACGAATTAATATATAAATATATCGGTTTGGAAGGGTTGTCATAGTCCAACCACATAAATTGAGCAACTAAAAGTTCAGTTACTTCTGGTACAATCTGCAAACATCAGAAAGAGGAATTTCAAGATGAATGAGCTAAATGTTGATACACACACACACACACACACACACAAACATGTGCACATATGCAGGGAGGGAGGGAGTGAGAGGCAAGTGATGATTTTCAAAAGTAATTGACAGGCTTATGAGGAACAGGCCAGGTTAAAATAAGAGACATCAAAATGGCTTACCGGCATACCCAGATAGCATATTCGGGCATCCAAGAGCAAAGAAGGCAAATCCGGCGGAGCAGTTCTAGGTCTTCCATATCCCCTGGCTCCTCCTCTATACATGCTAACACTCATACTGCATTGTGCAGGGCCCCTATCTCCCATGCCAGAAAGACTCCACATCCCTCCATTATCCAAATAGTTTTTAGCAGAGGAAATGCTTTCCTATCACATTGATTAAAATTAAGAAACTTATGGGACAACTGAAACAATCAACGCAAAAAAAAAAAAATTGAGGACAAGACGAAATCAGCATCTGGTAAGCTATAACTAGATCGACAATACTCATATTCTGTCGTCACAACATAAAAGCAATTTAGAAGATATCAAGAGCAGGCACATGATGAAAACCTCTGTAACAATTTCAGACTGCCTCCGGACAGGGTTATCTTCTGTCATGAACATGTCCATTTGTGATGGGGTAAGACCATATAGATATTGAGGAACATTCTTGTAATTGTCCATCACTACATACAGGAAAACAGAGGTCAAAGTCAGACACCTGATTTCTTTGCTTTTTTCAGTCAAACTTGAACATCTTCAAAATTTTAGAAAAGAGGATAAGCTATCAATAATTTTATCGAGAACGAATTAACTTCAGCAGGCAATAAAACTTGAAGGGACAAAATAAGGATAATGGTAAACGTCCATGTAACTAGATTCGATTCCTTTACTTAAGTCCCAAGTACAAGATGAGCTCACATGAAAAAAAGAAAGTCACTGCACATGGACGATATAGTCGCCAATCACATATATGAAATGCGTGTGTCTGTAATTCAGTTTCTTCTGTTTATTTACATGCTGCCCTAAAAAAGATAAGTGCTTTAGGGCTTTCCTATTTTACAGGGGATACAACATATTCCATATAGAAGAAGATTAAACAAAATATGCGGGTGACCGTGGAATTAAATTATGGTTTCTTAAGAGAGTGAAGAAAGGCACAATAACTCACATCCATCCTTGAGATTTTCTTCCCTGAATTGCTCGGGAATATGATTGAGCGACATGGCAGAAGGAGACCTATAACTCCTTCCAGTGACACTTCGCTTCGCACGAGCAATAACAGAGGGACCCCAAGACGAGAGCTTGGTTCCATGGAGGAAGGATTTAGAAGTAGAGTCGTCGATAAGGGGAAGGGAAGAAGCAGAGAGCGGGTAGAAGATAGAAGAAGCCATGGATTGAAAGACGAAAAGAGACTAGCAGCGTGAGGATATTTTGATTCGTTGGGCTCTGGAAGAGGAAAATGCTGGAACTTTCGTTGGAACGGCGAAGTTGGGGTGAGGACCGAGCGAGAGGTAGGAGAAGCTCCCGCGGTCAATTTGCCGACTGCGATCCACGCTTCACCGGGTCGGGTACGGTTTGTCCATTGTAAATGCATAACGATTAACAAATTAGAATTTGATTAAACACAACAATCTAGATGGATATATAATTTGTTAAATATAGATCATAAAAAATGATTTTTATTATATATGTCCAGCTCATTTTAAATTTTATGTTCAGTTAATATAATTTTTAGTCCATCAAATTTGTTTTCATTTTAATTTTAGTCTCTCAAATTTCAAATCATAAGTTTTGATTCCTTAAATTTCTTTTTATTTAAAATATTGATATTTATAATTCAATAAAAAACATGGATTATTTTGTTCTTATAGAGAGACCAAAATCTATAATTTAAAATTTGAAGAACTAAAATTAAAATGAGGACAAATTTAAAAGACCAAAAATTATATTAACCTTTTTTATATTTTATTTTGATATTTATATTAAGCATTTTTTTTGCCATCAGTTAAATGATACTATTATCTTTTTTTTTTGTACAAAAAGGTTTTGGTGAGCATGCCTCCAAATTCAAAGAACATTTATAAAGATATTTACAAGTTGCTAATCAATAAGGTTCTCATACTAATATTATTATCTATTGATTGATTATGGATTATACTACCTTTGGTCCTAATTATAAAAACTTATTTGTAATTTATAAATAAAACTTTATAATTAGGAGCAGAGGCAGTATTTATTTTTAACTTAATGATCAATAGAAGTTGGTATTACTTGTTTGGCAAAAAACGAAGAAGAAGAAGCAGTTGGTACTCTTCCGGTCCTTATTATAAGACCCCATTTGATTTTTTATTTGGTCCTAATTATAAGACCCCAATCTATTTTGTCTCTTATATTTATGCATTTTTTTCCAAGATAATCCTTCTAATAATGATAGTTTTAGCCAATATATTTAATTAGCAAGGATATTTTAGGAATGACAACACCTATTTATTATAAATAACCAACTTAACTTACTTTCTTAATCTCTTCAAATAAGTCAATTGGGTCTTATAATTAGAACCGGAGCAGTATTACTTTTGGGCTAACTGGGTATCCTTGATCTAAACACCAAAAACAAAAGGGTCATGGACCGGAGAATATGATGATTCAGGCCCAAAATATGAATTGAAATTAATTAACAATCTATGACAATGCATGAGAATTCATTAATAACGGGACACTTGGTAAATATTACTTCTGGCCAAACGAGGTGTTGTAATTAGGATCAGAAGTAATATGATTCAGTCAGATTTTCGGTGGAAAATGAAGGAGCATGTGCAAGAGATGTGAACCAGAAATTTTTGAAAATCTTATTATCTTATCCTAATCTCTTTTGAAAAGGTTCAATTAGGCCAAACTGGTGTTTGGAAAGCCTAATCTCCAAACTCTTTTGAGCTAAACTTGTGTGCTTATACAGAAATTGGGCAGCTAAACAAGATCAAGGTTTCAATTTAGGGGCAATACTAAGTAGAGATACTCATCCGATTCTTAATATAAAACTTATTTAACTAATTTGATAAGATTAAGGAAGTTAGATAAGTTAATTAATTGTAAGAAATATGATATGTTTTTCTTAAAACACCATAATCATTTTCGTTAATATCATCCATCTCTCTTCTACTTGATCATGATGAGAGAGTATTCATAGGGATACTTTAGAAAAAAAACTGATAAATATGATAAATAGGTATTATATTTAGAACCAAGATCAACTCAACAATTAGGTCCTATATTAAGGATCGGAGAAGTATTATATATTTTGTGTGCCTTGAAGATATATAGAATTGTGAAATTCACTATATATGTAAATACTAGAATTTTCATGAAAAATATTTAAAAATTTAGCACTAAACTAGGAAATAATTCACAGCGCAAAATGTCACGGACTTGGTCGTAATTCCAACGAACCGTGCGGCCTAGCAAACTTCTTGCCTTAAGTTGCTAGTCAGCCTACTCACGAAGGAACACGAAGGAACAAGAGACTCAAAGAGAGAACTTTGTATTGATCTCTTGAAGTACTTACAACACTCTCACTTTCTTGAGTGTGAGAAATGAATGAGGGGGAGGGGGTATTTATAGTTCTCCACCTCCTCAATGGACGGCTAAGATCTACTTGATCCAACGGTTACAATGTTGTATCTAGAATACTCTACAAAAATATCTAGATATTTACAAAGGGGTTAGGTGTCTCTACAACTATCTATAGTATTCTGGAACCTTCCAAGCTTCCCCAACAAGCTCCACACATTTCTAGAGAGTTCCAGACTTACCCAAGACTTTTGTGGACACCTTTGGACAGTTCTGGGCAGCGAGCCTTTGTGTATTTTGGGCAAAACATGAGCGGTGCGTTACATTCTCCCCCACTTAATGTGGCGACGTCCTCGGCGCATCCCTCTTGTATGCCTCAATCTTCTCCTTATAGTCCCATAAAGCCAGCTCGTGTTCCCAGCTTGCTTCACTATCGGGAGATCCTTTCCATTTAACAAAGTATTCAATGTAGCTCGGATGACTCCCCCGTCTCGGTATTACTCGGTGTGCGAGGATTTCCTCAACTTCCCGTTCTGGCACCGTAGTAATTGCTGTAGGGGCTCTTCTAGACTCACCTCTACTTGGTTCATCCTTGTCTTCGTTGTATGGCTTCAGTAGGCTTACGTGAAAAGCAGGATGCATCTCCAAGTGTGAAGGTAGAGTCAAGCGATAGGCTAGCTTACCGATGCGCTTCTCTATAGGAAACGGTCCTTCATAGCGCCTCACTAGCCCTTTATGAACCTTGGCGAACCTTCGGCTTTGATGAGGAAGGAGCTTCACCATGACTAAGTCACCTTCCTTAAACTCTAAGTGCCTCCTCTTAGCGTCGGCCCACTTCTTCATCTTTTCCGCGGCCTTAGCTAAGTACGCCCTCGCCATGTCTGATTTTTCATGCCACCCCTTGGCAAACTTGAAAGCTGAAGGACTCGGGCCTTTATAGCCAACAGCTAAAGTGTGCGGAGTCATCGGTTGTTGCCCCGTGGCTAACTCGAACGAACTTGACCCAGTTGATTCACTTTTCTGCAAGTTGTATGAAAACTGGGCAATGTCCAAGAGCTTGACCCAGTCCTTCTGGTTGGCACTTACGTAGTGCCTCAAGTATAATTCGAGTAAAGCGTTCACCCTCTCCGTTTGGCCATCGGTCTGCGGGTGAAAGCTTGTAGAAAAGTTGAGTTCGGACCCCATAATTTTGAAGAGCTCCATCCAAAATCTTCCTGTGAAGCGAGTGTCCCGATCGCTCACAATAGTCTTTGGTATGCCCCAATACTTCACCACGAACTTGAAGAATAACTTCGCAGCATCTTCTGCAGTGAATTTGGTTTGGACTGGTATGAACACTCCATACTTGCTAAACCAGTCCACCACCACCATAATGTTGCTGCATCCTTCTGTCTTCGGCAAACAAGTGATGAAGTCCATGGAAATACTTTCCCATGGTCTCTCGGGAATCGGAAGTGGCTCTAGTAAGCCAGAAACGGGGCGCTGTTCCACCTTGTCTTGCTGACACACAAGACAAGTCTTTACATAGAGCTCTACATCATCTCGCATCTGGGGCCAAAAGTATGCTCGCTCAATGAGTGCCATCGTGCGTCGAACTCCGGGATGTCCAGCCCACCTCGAGTCATGGCACTCCTTAATGATTCCTTCCTTAAGCCTTGCCATTTCGGCACGTACACTCGGTTTCCTTTGGTTATGAGCACCCCATCCTCAAGCCAAAACCGGCGTGTCTTCCCTTGACTTGCCAATTCCATCAAACTTTTGGCTTGTGGGTCCTTTTTAGTCCCTCCTTGACTCGATCAACCAAAGGGAAACTCGGGCTAGTGATGGAGGCAAGTTCGCCTTTCTACTCAAGGCGTCGGCCACGACGTTCCCTTTTCCTGGCTTGTACTCCATCACAAAGTCGAACTCTGCTAAGAAGGCTTGCCACCTTACCTGCTTCGGTGTAAGCTTCTTCTGCTTAAGGAAGTAACTTGTGGCGACATTATCGGTTTTCACAATGAACTTGGTACCCAGCAAATAATGTCTCCACGTTCTCAGGCAATGCACCACGGCCGTCATCTCCTTCTCTTGGACTGTGTAACGCCGTTCTGCATCATTGAGCTTACGACTCTCGTAAGCCACCGGATGACCTTCTTGCATTAGGACTCCTCCTAAGGCAAAGTCCGAAGCATCCGTTTGTACTTCGTATGGTTTGGTGTGGTCAGGCAAGGCCAACACCAGTTCCTTGATCACGGCTGCTTTCAGCTCCTCAAAAGCGGCTTGACACTTATCATCCCAATCCCATACTCGGTTTTTCTTTAGAAGATCAGTGAGGGGAGCGGCTATCGCAGAGTAACCTTTGATGAATTTTCGATAATAGTTGGCCAATCCAAGGAAAGAACAAAGTTCGGGTACCTTCCTTGGCGGCTCCCATTCCTGTATAGCACGCACCTTGGACTCATCCATCCGTAGTTTGCCCCCTCCGACAATGTGCCCTAAGAAAGTTACTTCCTGTTGAGCAAAGGCACATTTCTCCTTCTTGGCGTACAACTCGTTCTCCCTGAGGACTTGGAAGACTTGTCTAAGATGCTTCACGTGCTCCTCCAACGTCTTGCTATAAATGACAATGTCATCCAAGTATACCACCACGAACTTGTCCAAGAACGGTTGTAGGACTCGATTCATGAGGGTGCAAAATGTTGCTGGTGCATTTGTGAGTCCGAAAGGCATCACAAGAAATTCATACGAACCATACCTCGTGACACATGTTGTCTTTGGTTCGTCTCCCTCGGCTATCCGTACTTGATAATATCCCGACCTTATATCCAACTTGGTAAACCAACGAGCTTGGCCAAGTTGATCAAAGAGATCGGCAATAAGTGGGATTGGGTACTTGTTCTTCACCGTGATCTTGTTAAGCGCCCGGTAGTCGATGCATAACCGAAGTGACCCATCATGCTTCTTCTGGAACAATACCGGGGCTCCATAAGGTGCTTTTG